TTCTCTAAAAAAAATCAGTAATAAAAATAAAATACGAAGAAACAGGAACTGAGAAGTTGAATAACTTGCCCAAGGTCCACTAAGAGACAGAACCAGGATTTGAAATTCAACTCCAAAGCTCAAGTTCTTAACTATCATTTGATGCTGGACAGGAGGTTGTGAGCATGTGGAGTTTTAAGACCTTTGTGGTTGCTGAGAGTGCAGGGTAGAGAGTGTAGTGTATCTGAGGGGTGCGGGCAAAGTCAGATGGCATACTTGGGAGACAAGTCCACAGTGAGAGGCTTCTAGAGTGGGCTGGGAACCATAGAGTGGGAGGAGGGGACAGATGAGTAGAGGTCCTTCACAAGTGGGTAGAAGTGGTTGACCCACTGCATGTTGGGTGTGAAAACAAGAACAATTCCAAAATGTTGAGCCTAGAAAAAGAAGGTACAGCATAGAAGGGTGTGAGGCAGCTACTGCAGACCAGAGGAGAGAGCCATGGTACCTGGGCAGTCAGGAGTTACAACTTCTCATCCCAGCTAGGGAAATGATGCTGCCTGGCAGCTGGTGGGCCCTCACTGTTACATGAATGGATGAATGACTTGTATGATCTTGGGCAAGTTGTATAATCTTGCTATATGACCTCTGGCTCTCATTTTTGGTTGTGTAACATGACAGAATTGAACTATAACATGCAAAACATTGAAGGTACTCTCCTAGAAGGGGTAAGTATTCCTCTCTCCATCCCAGGATTTTTTTTTTTTATCCTCACCCAAGGACATTTTTCCATTTTTTTGTTCAGATAGAGTGGGAGGGAAAGAGAGGAAGAGAGAGAGAAACATCGATGTGAAAGGGACACATCGAGTGGCTGCCACCCGCATGATGCAACCAGGGCCGGGGACAAACTGCAACCAAGGTACATGCCCTTTGTGGGAACCGAACCCAGGTCTCTCTGGACCACAGGCCGACACTCTAACCGCTGAGCCAAACCGGCCAGGGCCATCCCAGGACTTTTATGGGTCCGCCCAAAACAATGGTTCCAACCCTGGCTGTAGATGAACCGAGGCCCCATATGAGACCACTAAATTCAGAATCTCTGGAGATGAGGCCCAGGCATAGGTAATATTTTTTTAAAGGGGGAATGGGGGTAAAGAGGGAGGGGGCTCAAAAGAGCCTAGTGCCTCTGAAAGTCTGGTAGCTGGTGGTGGCCACTCAGGATGGGGGCCTGGCTTTGCCAGGCTGGCTCCAGGCTGCTTCCTTGTGGCTTCCTGAGCCAGGTCACGGGTGATCATGCTGCTGGAGGCCTGGGGAGATTCTGAGCAGAGTGGTGGGGAATGCCTTCTCCAGGGTACTCAGCACTTGCACAGGAACTGTTACCGGAAGTAGAACCCAGGCGGCCCCTGGGTAGTAGTCGTGGGTGGCCACAAGCGAGCTGCTGGAGGGGATGGCTGCCATGCTCTTGCTCGTGGGCTGGTGGAAACCTTGGTGGCGACCCCTCAAGGGCCTCGGTGCATGATCACAGGTGGTGGAAATGAGGGCACTAGGCCACAGAGCCCATTTGCAGAGGATACCATGGGAGGTCACTCCACTACCGAGATGCGCTGGGGTCCATGGGTAATTTTTATTGTTATTTATTTATTTATTTTTCAGTCCTCACCCAAGGATATTTTTCCACTGATTTTTTTTTTTTTTTTTTTTTTTTTATCCTCACCCGAGGACATTTTTCCATTTTTTGTTCAGGTAGAGTGGGAGGGAGAGAGAGGAACAGAGAGAGAGAGAGAAACATCGATGTGAAAGGAACACATCAAGTGGCTGCCACCCGCACGACTGACCAGAGACGGGGACAAACTGCAACGGAGGTACGTGCCCTTAGCGGGAACTGAACCCGGGTCTCTCAGGACCGCAGGCCAACGCTTTAACCGCTGAGCCAAACCGGCCAGGGCTCCACTGATTTTTAGATAGAGTGGAAGGGAGGAACGGAGAGAGAGAGAGAGAGAGAGAGAGAGAGAGAGAGAGAGAGAGAGAGAGAGAGAGAGAGACATTGATGTGAGAGACTCACCGAATGGACACCTCTTGCACGACCCTGACAGCAGCTGGGATGGAACCTGAAACCCAGGCACTTGCCCTTGACCAGAAATCGAACCCAAGACCCTTTGGTCTATGAGCCAAAGCTCTAACCACCAGGTTGAGCCAAACCAACCAGGGCCACGGGTAATTTTTAAAGCTTCCCAGGCGACTCTCATGTGCATGCAGCTGGTTGAGAATCCTGACCCTGGAGCCTCCAATACCCAATTTGAAAACCGCTGAGGTAGGTGAGGGTCAGGATCCCATCCAGGCCTAGGCCCTGTGGTTGGTGAGAAGTTGGCCTCTCTTTTCATGTCCCATCTCCCATCTCCCAACCCCAGACTCCTGATAGCCAGGGGACCGTACACCAGGGTTTCTCAACCACATACTATTGACATTTTGGACTGGATAATTCCTTGTCGTGGAGGACTTTCCTGTGCATTTTAGGATGTTGAACAGCATTCCTGGTCTCTACCCACTAGATGTCAGTAGCATATCACCCCCAATCAAAGCAATAAAAAAATGTCTCCAGTTGTTGCCAGATGTCTCATGGGGTGCAAAATCCCCCCAGTTGACACTACTGTGCTCCTCTGAGTTCCCTGTCCTCCCATCCCAGTTGCAGACAGCCAGGCAGGGCTGGAGGCCATTTCACAGCAAATTTAGTTGGGCCTGGCAGGAGGGAGCCTCTGTGGGAGGCCAAGGCTTCACAACATTGAGCGGGGGGAGATCATGCCAGCAGACTGAGTGATGTGGGCTCGCTCGAGAGGGAGGAAGTTTTCCAGAACAGTCATTCCCGGATTCCCAATCAGTTGTAGGAGGGCCAAGAGTAGCTTCTGGGGCAAACAACCCCTACTTTACGGGAACAGACAGAACGGGGTGTGGGAGTGGTGGTGAGTGTGGAGGGGATTCTTTCCTGCTGTAGATATTTTCCTGGCACTGGTGACTTCCCTATCTGATTGGTTGAGGGCTGGAGGGGAGGAACTTTCCAGCTCTGGGTGCCTGGGTCCCTGGAGGCCCTCTGACAGTGGGATCATGGGGACATCTGGGTTTCAATATCTGGAAGACTGAACCTTTGGGGCTGGATCTAAGAAGCTGGCTGCTCCACCCTCCAAGTGAAGTGGAAATTGTGGGTACATGCTCCTTACACCTGGAGGCTAGGATCTATCAGTGTCTTCGTCTTCGTAAGTCACTTTTTGCTTCAAGGAGGTGGAACCTGAGGGAAGATGGGGGTGGGAGGTCTGGGAAGGGAAAGGAAATGAAAGGAACGGAAGGGAGCTGGGAGGGAAGGAGAAAGGATGGGTGGTGGAAGGTACTGGGTGGGTCAGAGGTGGTGAGGCTGTTTCCTGCTATTATCCCCCAACTCACTCCACCACAAGGCTTAGGACACCCAAGAACAGGATAGTTCCAAAGACAGAAAGGAGCAGAATCTTGGCTTCCTGAAGATCGTGACTTCCTGCAAGGAACCCAGGAAAGAGTGACAGATCCTGGGGACCACACCCATTGACTCTAGGGGAGCCTAAGAATTCAGAGATCTGGGTGAGGTGAGGCAGGGGCCGGGAGTAAGGACCTGGGAAGCAGCGCTTTTGGGGCCAGCAGTACACCTCAAAGCCCTTGCAGGTGGAACAGTTGTACAGGATGGTGCTGCCCCCTGCAGGAGACAGCAGGACCAGAGCTGGGGAGGAGAAGGCCCAACTCCACCCTCCAGAGTCTGCCACTTCCTCCCGCTAACTGCCAGGCTCTCCGCAGGTACTCCCAAGCCCCTTGTCCTCACTTCCCTTTCCTTTTCTACTCACAACAGGCAGGACTGCAGAGAGCTGAAATGAAAGACAAGGAGGGGTGGGTACAGATGAGCAGTTCAGCCACACACCCCTTAGCCCAAGACCCTAGGCACCCTTTGATCCCTCCTCGCATCAGTACCTTCCCTGGTGTACTCAGGAAGCTTGGTCTTTTGAAGCCATTGCCAATATAAAGGGAGTGAGGAGAAAGACTTTTTGATCTCTGGGGAGGCAGACAGCAGCCATTTTGCCGAGCCTCGACAGTACTGGTTGACCTCCGCCCTTCCACCCAGCACCTTTCCAATCACGAGCTTCTGTCTCCACCTGCCCTCCACTCTTTCCTACCTCCCTAGTTCCTTCCTCCCATCCCCCTCCTCAGTGCCCATCCAAGCCCCTAGGTTGTGCCTTCCCCAATGACCTCACCCATGACCCTCAGGACTCTGTGAGTCTTCTCTGTGACTTTGTTCATGGACACCTCATCTATGGAGATGGGCAAGAACCAGTGACTTCCTCATCAGCCCAGAAGAAGATTCTGGAGTTTTTCTTGTCTTTCCCAAGGTCCAAAGAAGCTCTCCCAGAGGGAGAGACCAGTGAGTCCAGAGAGGGCTGTGGACTGAGGTGACTGTTGAGGGGCACAGCTGGGAAGCCACATGTTGCCCTGTTTGGGGCATGGGGGTGACTATTGCTGGTCCCATCCCTGGATGCCTGGACTTACCTAAGGCAAAGTTTGAGAAATTCCAGGAGGTCTCACAGTCCTTCCAATGGACCTCCATCTGACGGCAGAGCCAAGCCAGGCGGCTCGACAAGTCATGGGCTGGAAGGCGGCAGAAGACACAGGCCTGGGCAGCTGCCAGGAAAGCCCCACCTAGTGCCAGCACCCACATGAAGCCCAATGTGGGGTGCTGGAGGCGAGCTGGCCCCACCTGAGGTAGGAAGGTTCTGTGATCCTGGTTCCAGCCCTTTGCCTGGACGTTATAGAGTGTTCCAGAACAGTTGGAGGTTCTAGAGCATTCTAGAACAGTGCCACTGCTCCAGTCCTGGCTGTGATAAACCTGGAGCCCAAGGAACTGGGACCAGAAGAAGACATAACTAATGGGAGATGGGCAGAAAAAGCAGGACTTCTGCTGCAAGGGGGACCCCCAGCCTGACCCTCAGGAGCCTTTACAAGTTTGTGGTTCCAAAAGCAACTTTATTTTTCTTCTTGTAAGTGATAAATAATAAGTGACTCCCCCAGGGAAGTTGTTTATGAGTATCCCATCCCCTCAGGGAAGCAGAAATCCCATCTCTTCCTATATCCTCCCCAACTCTCCCAAATTCTTCTGTACAGCTTTTCTCTACCCTGAACAAACTTGAGTCTTTCCCCAGCTATCTCCTAGCAACAGGCCCATGATTGCCTTAACAACCAAGAATTCTATAAAGGTCTCCAAGGCCTGGCTAAGTCCAGTGACTTCTCTTACCTCGCTCACCAGGAAGATCCTACTGACTTAAACTCTAACAGGCCCTCCCTGCATATGTGGTGACGTGAGTGCACATGTATGCACACACACACACACCCCTTGTGATTAAGCTATTAATTCTCAGTCTACTCACACCCATAGACATACCTGGTGCCCAAACAGCTTCTGAGAAACCTCAAACAGGCCCGGACATGCAGAGACCACAGAAAGGCCAGAATATAGGTGCCATCACCAGCCACACAAATGGGAGCCCAGATGTCAGGGATCCACACATCTGTCACACACTGACACACACTCGCACAAGAAGGAATTTAGGCCAAGGCCCAAGAAGATGCCACCTTCTTCCCCATGACCAGCTCCACCATCAATATCAGATCCTTTAAAAAAAACTTGGATCTCCAGAAGGATGCTCCACCCCATAATTAATGGGGATTCTCCTAGCTCCCTTATGCCAGCCTAGGGTGTGGTGTAGCCTTTCTGTCTTCCTTAATAGGTGGCTTGGGACACAGCAAAGAATCTCCCTTCCTCTGTTTCAGAGTGTTCTGGCCTGTCATTGGTCAGGTCAGGCCAGGTCACTCAGCTCCAGAAGTCAATCCAGGAGACCACATTAGAGCAATCCAAAATCCCTCTTCCTCCCAGACCTCAGTGTCCCTGCAGTGTTCTGCTAGGCCTAGCCTGGGCAGAGACATGTCCTCAGTTTTCCCGATCCCTACATACTGAACTCCAACCAAGGAAACTGGAAGTCCCCAGGCTCAGGTGAGAACAAGCCAAGGGAACTTTGCCCACCCCTCCCAGGATTAGCACCAGTCCAAACCCTCTGTACCACTTGTGAGCCCTAAGTGAGCTTGGGTTTGGGGAGTTCCGCCCACATCTGTTTCCAATCAGTTGCAGTGGGACCTCTGACTCTCACAGCTCCCAAAGCAGAGCTGGGAAGGGACTTCAGGGGAGCCTTAATCTCCTTTGCTGCCCCCTTCATTCTCCCCCCACCCTCCTACTGTCAAACTGAGGGTAGTACTGCCAGTCCTCAGTTATTAGTGTCGGACAAAGCGCAGAGATCTGGAGTTGAGTAGGTCTTCAGGGTCAGGGAAAACGGAGTCTAGACGGAAGCCATGCTCCAGAGCCACCCGCAGCACCTCCTCCAGGAAGCCGGGTGTGCCCACCACTTCCCGTTGCTCTCCTGGCCCCTTAGTCCACAGTGGCTGTAGTCCCAGTCTCCTGTACTCCACTTCTGGAAGTTCTGTGGGGCGGGGGGCCCATTCCAGACGAAAGTGTGGTCCTCCCTCTGCTCTCTCTTCATTGGCTACACCAAATCGGGCCTTCATGGCACCCAGACACTCTGGATCGGTGCAGAAGAGGTTGGCTCGGAAGGTGTCCACCTGGGCAGAGCTCAGTTCATAGTGGTGTGGGCCCTGGCGAGCAGAGAAGTGCACCATGCGGGGGCTGGCATCTACATCTGCGTGGAGCAGGGCAGCTGTGGGTGCAGGGGTCACCTGAGAGGCCTCCAGTTCCTGCAGGGCATCGAGGAGGGGCCGGATCTGGTAGAAGTCAGCTTCTGCCCTGAGAAGCGCTGTCTCTCCATATCCAAGGGGTAGGTCCAGGCGGCCCAGCCGCAGGAAATTTAGAATATGCCGGAAGGCCTTGCCATCTCTGTCGATGAAGTAGTAGTGGCCACCTCCCTGGGAGTTGAGGTTGGGGGAAATGGGGGTGCCAGCCCTAAACATGGCCCCCAGCATGGAGTCTGGGAAGCGAGTCAGAGTCTCCAGAGTGGTGGAATATAGCGTACCCCCCACATTCAGGGTTACAGGGCCCCCAAAAGAGGGGGGTGAAGAGGGCACAGGAGGAGGGGAAATTTTGGGGAGTACTGGAGACACCAAAAGAGAAGAAAAGGCAGTACTTCGTGGGTGTGTGCAGAATTGGGTCGTAAGGTTCAGACTCTAAGTTGGAGGCATTGGTTAGAGTACAAGGCAGCAAGATTCGGGGCTCACTCCAGCTACCTTGGTGGTGGGGAATGGCTTCCAGGCACAGAAACGCCGGAAAGGTTAGAGAACGAACAGATGAAAAGAGCACAGGGAAGCCCAAGAAGAAGGGAGGTTTAGATCCAGACGCCTCCAGTTCTGGATGATCAGCAATTCCTTTCTGTGGTCTTTAGACAGTGGGTTCCCCGAATCCAACCAATAGGTGACTGTCGAACGCAAGGCCGACTCTTTGAAAGGTCCTGCCTCCGAGCTCTCGGGCAGATCGCTGTCGCCGTGGGAGAGTCCACGCAGGGTTCCGGGGCCCAGTCAGAGGCCTGCCTTTGGCCTGGCTCCGGCGCGGGTTCCAGGAGACGGAGGCGGGGCTCCCCGGAGCTGATGGCGGAGGTGCCTCTATATCGGCTGAGGAAGGAGGATGCACGCTAAGTCAGAGCTGCGACTGTCCGAGGACTCTGATGGAAGCGGCCGGGAGTCTCAGGACCCGGGTGCTGCCGCCTTATCCGGGTGTCCCAGCTGCGGCTCAAGTCCTCTCGGCCCCAAGGAAGTGGCCTTAGGGCAGCAGTCCCGGGTCCTTTAAGGGACAGCTCCGCCCCCTTGGCGCCCCGCCCCCCGCCCCCACGGGGTTTTTGTGCCTCGGGTGGAGGTGGGAGCCGAGAGTGGCGAACGGGGAGGACGGGCTGGACCGGGGGACGCAAGCGGGGTGGGGTCCGGAGGGTGACTCCGCAAGTGGGGTGGGGTCCGGAGGGTGACTCCGGCGCGTCGCTCCGGATGTGGTCGCGACGCCCCGGCAGGCCCAGGTGTGCTCGACCTCACGTCTGCAACTCGGCGGGGGCAGGAGTCTCCAATCCCGCCTCTATGAGAAAGCAGAGGTGCGGCCTCCAAGGGCCTGGGGACCAGCAGTTTCCTTCTCATCTCTCCCGTCCGGAATTCCGAGGGGGCGGGTGCTGAGTCGCGACATTCCGGGGATGCCGCCGGGCCGGTGGCCCAGCCAGCTTCATCCCAGCCCAACAGGCCCAACGCCAGCACCCCCTTAAGGGAAGGCCGGCCCCAGTCCTCGCGAGCAGCCTCTCTCTTCGGCCCCTGGAGTCTGGCCACATCGCCTGAGCCCTAGAGCCCCACCCCAGGGCCTCCCAGCACTGGGGCTGAGGCTACAGCTTCCAGTTCACTCCCTGGGAGTCGCCCCTTGTGTGACGTGAGCTCGCAAACTCCTATCCACTTGCACCTCTGGAGCCACAGCGCCCAACACCCTGCGGAGGTGGTGTCAAAGAAATGAACTATTAAGGAAAGAGCAAAGCACAAAGGCTTTATTTATTTATTTTTCTTTGTTGATTTTAGAGAAAGAAGAAGGGAGAGGGGGAGAGAGAGAGAGAGAGAGAGAGAGAGAGAAACATCCATAAGAGAGAACATGGATTGGTTGCCTCCTGCATGCCCCACACTGGGGATTTGGCCCACTACCTGGGCATGTGCCCTGACTGAGGATCGATCCAGTGACCTCTTGGTGCATTGGTCCATGCTCAACCACTGAGCCACACCAGCGGGGCCAAAGCACAAAGGCTTTAATGGCCACAGGGTGGGCCGTGGGTTAGAAAGGGTGGGTGTCTCGGGCCCTCAAAGGCCTGGAATCAAAGCGTGTGGAGGTCATGAGTACGCCGGCTCAGCTTCTCCGGGTCGTCCGATGCCATAAGGGAGAAGTCACGGAAGATGTCAAGATATGTCTCATCTCCTGAGAGGAGGGAGAAAGGACTGGGAGTCCCAACCAGTGGCTGGTCCCCTAGCTCAGAAGAGTATGCTGGGGACAGCCAACGGTCCTGCTAAGAGTGTAGGTGGAGGAAACACCTGAGCTATCAGGGCACAGCTCTTGCCTTTTCTTTGTATTGAGGCCCGACATGTCAAATATGCCCAATACATATTTGTTCAATAAATAATAGACTTAATCAATGAAGCTGAACATGAGGGGTACAGATCATTAGAGGCCAGAAGCCCAGAGTTACAATGATGGACACGGGGGGGGGTGCACTTTACCTCCCTGGCCCTGGGCTGCTTCCGCCTCTCTCATCTTTGCTAATCGAAGCCTAAAGAGGAAGAAATTAAGGAATGAATGACAATCTCCCCATTCCCTCTGACCCCAGCTTCCCATCCACTGAGCTGGGTTTGCTGAGCAAGGTCTAGTGCTTAAAGGATGCTTGACAACAATGTTGATGAATGATGAGTCTCAGGATGAGCCCACCATCCTGGATCCTGCCCACACCCTTGCTACTCCACACCCCAATCAACACTTGGGGGCATTCTGTTGCCTGGTCCTCCCCTCCCCAGGCCTCCCCTGGCACATTGGGGCCTTGTAGTTAGCCACACCCATGTAAAAGGTGCAAGTGCTAGACCTGCCCCTTCAGACATCCTTACAGGGTGACGATGTCAGCATTGGCTGTTTCCATGGCGATGGTCAGAGGGTCCCTGCCTTCAGAGTCCTTAGCTCCCAGGTCAGCTCCCCGTTTCAGGAACAGGCAGGCCAGTCTAGAGAGGATAGCCAGGTTTAGCCAGCAGCTCATCCCATCTGGAACCTTCCTCCCCAAGACCATCATTGCTGCCACTGCTACCCAGTGTGGCCAAGGATGGTTGCGTGGTGGAGCGGGCCCCGGCCATGGCTGTCTGCTTGGTTCACATTCGCCCCATTCTGGAGGAGAAACTCACAGGCCAGTAGAGAATTCTGCATCAAGAAGTGGAGAATGGGGAGAGAGGGTGGCAGCTTTAGAGGCAGATTTAAAGATTTTTAGAGAGGGGTCAGTTAAGAGGGTGGGGTATGGGATCAGGAGTTTAGGGGTACAGTAGGTGTCAGGCTCTGCTCTAGCTCTTTACATGTATCTATACATTACATCCACATTCACAGTATAACCTAATGAGGTGTGGGATCCTTATTTTACAGGTGAGGAAACTGAGGCACAAAGAGGTTCATAACTGTAAGTAGGGAGAACCTGGATTCAAACCCAGGTTGTTTACCTCCAAATCATACATTCTTAGCAAACAGTCTCTATTGGTTATCACACCGTATGGGTGGAGGGAGGGGTAAGAAAGTCAGGAGTAGTGAAGAAGAGTCAGAGCCTTAGGGTGGGGTGGGGAAGCTGGCAAGACCCTCACAGCAGCTGTGGCCTGGATCAGTGGCGTGGCATTCTCCTGACCCGTGTTGACCCAGTTGACATCAGCTCCATGGGCGAGAGCATCAGCCATGGTGGGGAGGGATGGAGGATGCCCAGCAGCTCGAAACAGCAGGGCCCCAGGGTGCAGGCTGCCCAGGTCATCAGAGGGCGACCCTATTAGGGAGAATCAGCTTTGAGTCTGGGAAGAAAACCCTCAGCAAAGTCCCCTGACGCTGTAACGGGGTAGGTCACTTCTCAATTGTGGGGAGGCCTTCAAGATTCTGAGGACTGGTGGGAAGTGGAGGTGTGTGTGAGTGTGTATGTGTGTGTATGGGAGGGGACTAGGGTTAGAAAGCATCATTCACCTCTTCTTGTCCAACCACCCAGACTGGCTGGGATGTTGTGGGTGAGCTGACTCACTGAAGGTCTGCCTCAGTTCTCTTGGCTCCCTCTGCTCCAGCCAAACTCACATCCGCCTTCACAGGCCTTCGGAGATCCTAGTTCATTATGACTCCTGACTTTTCCCATGCTGTTGACACCCTTACATAGCCCTCCTGCCTACTCCCAGCCCCATGCTTCTTCCTATTCTTCACTATAACCTCTAGAACTGTTACCTTCTACGACCAGTGCTGATGTGGTCTGGCTCCTCCACATTCTCAAAAGGCAGGCCTGGGCCTCATACTCTGAACCTCCCCACCAGGTGGAACAGTGATGAGCACACAGAAGGTGCTTAATTAATGCCCAACCAACCCTATACCTGGCTTGGATCTCAAGCTCCCTGGCCGAGGCTTAATGGAAGGCTTTGGGGGCACAGGAGGGTGCCCCCTTGGGGGCCCCCGACCACCTCTTCGCCCTCGAATCTCAGGAAGCTTGGTCAGGAACTTCTTCTCCACGTATTTGGCATGAATCCAGGCCTCCTTCTCCTGCCTGAGGGGTGGGGGGAAGAAGGGGACAGTCTTCCCTCCTATTCCAGACCCTCCTCCCTTCCTGTGAAGAGGGCAACCCAACCCTTCCCCCTAGCCTCACCGGGAGCAGCTGGGCCCTGGCTTCTTCACTGCCATGGCCTCCACACGGGCCTCATAGATCTGGTTGATGACTACATTTCCCAGCTCGCACATAAGCTGCAGGAACCAAGGCAGAGGTAGACAATCAGGTAGGGTTGGGGGAGTGTTTGAACTCTCGGGGCTCTGCAGCCCTATCCTCAACCCACCCGACCCCCACACTCTTCATAACACCCCCAAGTCACCTTCACTAGTTCCGGCTCCCACGAGTCAAGTGTCAGAGACCGAACTTTGGAAAAATGAACTCCAAGGCTCCTGGAGGGCCAAAGTAGAAGTCAGGTCTATGTGAGGCAGCAGCTGGGGGAATGGCTGCTGCTCCTGAGAAGACTTGTAGACAAGTCTTGCTTGGGGGGCCACACAGAGGCACTGGGCCAGGAAGCAGCAGGGCAGCTGGGGCCACGTAGCCTTCACCTGCATCTGGCAGGATCCTACCTGTTCACCATCCCCTCTTCTCACTTCTCCTACATTTCATTTTAAGGGCTCATCCTCTCCATCCACCTCCCTTCTCTCTTGGCACTTTGGCCTGGACAGCTCTTTCCTGCCATTCTTCTACCAGACTGACTCAAGGCGAGGGCTGTATAGACTTGCTAAGGCCTCCCAACCTCTTCTCTCTGCTCTTCGTTGGCTCACCCATCCTCAGCAGCCCTGACCCCACACCTCCTCCAATCAAGCCAATAAACTACTCTGGGTTTCTCCCAACCCTGGCTAGACTGGGACAATGAGAGGCTGGGCCCACCTGGATCCACCTTGTGCCCCATAGGCTCAGGCCAAGCCTGTGCCCAGTGACAGCCAGAATCTAAAAGAGGAAGCCAGGGCAGGATGAGAAAGGAGGAGAATGTGTGATGGACTCTATCTTGGTTCCCTCCCAACACTGTAGCCAGAAAGAATGAGGTCCATGATTGGGGACTTGGGGAGTGACCTGTGGATGCCGGAGCACTGAATGCAGAGGGTGACACCAAGGTTGATGCTAGCCCACTCAGGAGCTGGTTCTCGGCAGTCGCAACATTGGGCATTGCCATCCACACTCTGCACCTGGGCTGCCACATGCCCCACTCCGCCAGATTCCCTTCCCCTAGTCATTCCGCCAGAGCCCAGGGTGGCAGCAGAGCCCATGACCAGGTGTCCTGAGCCCTGGGGCAGACAAAAAAAGAAAGAGTGGCCATGGGGTCTAGGGGAAGGGATGGTCCATCTCCCTGGGCAGCCTGGCCCTGAACCCCCAGGTTAAGGTACCTGGCCTGGACCCCGAGGTCTATCATCAAGGTGAGCCTGGCTGAAGGCTGTGGCAATGCTGCTCTGCACAGCACTGATCCACAGCTGTAGGAGGCGCTCTGAGTCAGCCTGCAGAAGGCAGGACCTGGGCAGGAGAGGGGATGGAGAGCAGGGAAGGGTCTGAGGCCTAGGGAGCATGTGGTAGGATGGGCAGGCTGACATTCAGCTAGTATTGAACTGGTACCAGTTATACTGAAATATTTCTGCACCAATAAGTTATATACTTGGAAATATCCCCCATCACCCTATACCCCCCCAAGGTTGCCCCACAATCCAGCCACCAAAGGATTAATGCCAGGGGTGCATGGGAACCTCTAAGCCCCTGTTCCAGGGATGCCTTTGTGACTGGCCCTACCTTTCCAGCTGTAACCGACTTAGAGATATTAGAACATCACTGCTGGGGATTATACTCACTTGCTAGGAGATACCACCTCAAAGCAGAACCGCCTCTCTGAGTCGGGGCAGAGCTTCACTGTGCAGAGACGAAGGTCATCTACCACCACAGTCACAGGGTCCTGGCAGGGGAAGGTGATAAGGGGGCAGATGTCCAGGGAGGCAAAGAAAGGGCTCCTTGGGCCCAGGCCTCCAGCACCCAGGCTACCCACCTTGTACTTCTTCTGATAAACCAGTTGGTTGCTCTGAATAGTGAACCAGCGTCTGCAGGAGGTAGAAGTAGAGTTTGGACGTGGGCAGCATCAGGATGATGCTGGGACAGGGACAGCAGAGAGTTTGTGTCCTTTGACCCATAAGGATCTTGCTGAGAGGAGAGAGACCTGGGCTGACTGTCCCATGAGATGTTCCAGAGGAGAGTGTACAGTTGTGTAGACTGTCTAAGGGGAGCTATTCAGATCTTGGACAACCCAGATTTGATATATTTATGAAGACAGTTTTCCAGCAGATGACAGTAAAATGCCTTTTCTAACAAAGTAAGTCTATTGCTACATTTTTTTTTTTTTTGACAGATGGCCGTATTTTGGAAAAAGGGCTCAGTATCTTGGGGAAGGACCCCATATGGGATCTAATTTGCACAAAAATCCCATATGGGCTGGCAGTGGCCCTAAAAGGGGAAGGAGTTAAGTTAGAGCAGATCACCATCCTGTTCTCCATCCTGCAATGGCTCCCGATTTCCCTTAGAGTGAGCCCAAGTCCCTAGAGAAGTCGACAAGGCCCTATCATAATTCACACCCCTATTAGTTCCAACTTCATCTCCTACCACTTCCTCCTCCGTTCCTCTGTCCACACCCATGGCTTCCTCTCTATTTCTCCAACGCTCCAGGTTTCTCAGGGCCTTGGTGCTGGCTCCTCCTTCTGCCCAGAACATTCTTCCCCCAGAAGTCCTTTAGGCCTTCACTCAGAAGTCACCTTTTCATGAGGCCTACCCTGACCACTCTATTTAATACTGCAACCCTTCCTCAGCTATCCACATCCCTTACTTTACTATTTTTCTTCTCTAGTACTCTTACCTTCTAACATAATGTATATTAATATAGCATTTACTTAATTATATTATTGTCTTTGTTGATGGAATGTAAACTATCTAAAGAGAGGGGGGTTTGGCCCTGGCCGGTTTGCCTCAGCGGTTAGAGCGTCGGCCTGCGGTCCAGAGAGACCCGGGTTCGGTTCCCGCTAAGGGCATGTTGCAGTTTGTCCCCAGCCCTAGTTGGTCGTGCGGGTGGCAGCCACTCGATGTGTCCCTTCACGTCGATGTTTCTGTCTCTCTCTCCCTTCCTCTCTTTCCCTCCCACTCTATCTGTACAAAAAATGGAAAAATATCCTCGGGTGAGGATAAAAAAAAAAAAAAAAAAAGAGAGGGGGGTTTGTCTTTTTCCTTGCTGTGCTTAGCAAACTATAACCACTCGAAAAGGTATTAATTGGATGGGTATGGCTGATTGGAGTGCCCTCTCCTCACCTGCTCCAGGTCTTAAATGCATTGCTGGCCCGTTTGAAGAGATGTCCTTCCATGACCAGGCCACCAGGCCCCTCTTTGAGACTTGGCTCTGGCTCCTCCCCACCCAGCTCCTGAGGGCACAGAAAGGTCAAAAGGCAACTCTGTGAGCAGAAAGCAAGGCCCCGTGCCCATATGCCTCCCTCCAGCAGTCCCACCTCTCACCTTCTGTTTCAGTAGCACATGTCTTTGCTCCATGTCCCTCTTCTCTCGAGCTGAATTCAAAACCAGCTGGTGCAACTGGACATAGGAGGGGCATCTCAGATGGCCCGAGCCTCCCCCAACTAGGCCAGGAAAGTCACCTCAGAGCCCACTACCCTGTACCACCTGCCTGTTCCATGGAGCCCTACCTGAGCACCCAGATCCTTGCGATATTGGGCCAGCCGGCTCAGCTCCTCGTGGCCCTGCTGGAAATGTGTAGCCTGGGCCTCCACCAAACGCAGCACCTGGGGCCAAGGTGGGCAGGGGGCAGAGCTGAGGAAACACCTTGCAGTACTTCCCTCTTCCCTCCTGTTCTCCATCAGCAGGCTCCTCCCCACCTTGCCCTTACCACCACTGCAACTCACGAATTCCATGATGTCAAACTTCCTCTTGTCCTCGATCACATTGATCTGAGGGCCCCAAAATACCTCAGGTCAGTCTTGAAAACATAGTGCCCCCTCCCAATGCACACCAGGGACTCTCTAGCCTTGAGGTGACTGAGGCCCTGGTACTCCAAGAGGACTGGTGGGGACAGGCACCTGCAGGGCATAATCCAGTGCCCGTCCCCGGTACCCAGCTCGAGCAGTCTTCAAAGCAGCTACTGCCTCTTCTGCCTCCTGGACCCGGCGCCTGGGGACCTCTGCGTTGTGGGTAAGAGCAGCCTCCAGGCTCTCAGCACCTCGCCAGAAATCCCGACGAGCCTCTCGAAAACCCCGGAGACCTCTTGGGGAGAGGAATACAAAGAATCACAGATATATCCACCTGCCCCTAGCAGAAAAGTCCCAAGAGCAGACCCACTCATAGCCTGTCAGTTAGCCTCTGTACAGTCAGAACTCCCTGGGGGCTCTTGGGTGGGAGATAGCAATCAAGCCACCAGAAACTCCTAGGCTCACAGCTTCATTCAGGGAAGCCCCTGTGATAATGGGAATAGGGTGGAGGGTAGTTTCCCTCCCAACACTCACTCCTTGACCAGAGTTTGGATTTGCTGCTGCAGCGTGTGCTGGGTGGCATCTAGAAGCTCCTGAGGGGAAGCAGAAACTGGAAGGTAAAGATCAGGACCACAGACAACCCCGCTCCCTGCATCTGCCCTACTTATCCTCACTCACTGAGTGGCTGTCCAGCTTATGGTTCAGGCTCTCAGTGAATTTGTCCAGACACTCCTAGGCAAGAAGAGGCAGAGAGAGAAGAGAGAGAGAGAGAGTACCAAGCATGGGGGTGGGGTGGCATAGGGGTGGGTGGTGTAGGGCCCTCCCATCTTTATTTTTTTTATTTTTTATTTTTGGTATGTGCCCCTAGCGGGAACCGAACCCGGGACTCTCTGGTTCGCAGGCCAACACTCCAACTGCTGAGCCAAAACGGCCAGGGTGGGGGCGGGCCCTCTCCCTCCCAGGCCCTCCCATCTTTAGATCAGCCTACTGTGGTTGTCTCAGATGGCAGTACCAGCCCTGCTCTGGCCTGGGACCTGCAGACCCCAGATCAACCCTCCTCAGGCTTCCACAGGATCTCTCTTCATGTCAGACCCCATCCCACCCTGGTTAGGGCCCTACACATACCGCCATCATGGGCTCTGGTGGACCCAGGCGGGCCAGATCACAAATGCCGACAATGAAGGCATGGCCAGCAGCAAGGTAATGGCGCCCACTTTCCAGGAGGCCATTACCTAACTTGAGGAGCTAGGAAGCAACAGGCAACAGAGAGTCATGCCATGTGCCACCATAGTCGATAGCAAGCCCTACCCCTGTCCCACTTCCTCGCCCCTTCCCCTAGGCTATTGCCCCTCTTTCACAACCTTGCCCATACTTCTCTATAGCCCAGTCCAGCTCTCACAGTTTGACACAGACTTGGCACCTTCTCATCTCTGTCACTTTACACCCACTGCTCTGTCTCTCCTGGAACAAAATTCCTCCCAGCCTGTCACCGAAGCCAGTATCAGCTTCACCTCAAAAATGTCTTTCTCTGTCCATTCCCATGTGTCTCTCCAACTGTTTGGATCCAGAGCTCCGGGGAAACTCCATCCTCATGAACTGTCTGGCTCACAGGATGAATGCTCTACCTAACTGGTGTAAGTCCTCCAGGATTAACCGTCTGGACTTGTCCCTTTCTGTGTTCATTGAATATTCCCTCATAAATATAAATTGATCAGTAGGCCACAGGGTCAGGGTGAAGATGGCATGCTAGGGGGCTCCTAAAGCCCATTGTGTCTGGTCCCAGTTGACAAACAAGGAGGCTTGATAACCAAGGGGACAAGTGACTATCCTGAGGAGGGTCTCTCTGGGAGAGCCAGGTGGCTGAGCCAGAAACCCAAATGAGGCTGCTGACCCCTGGCCCTTGTTACCTGCAGGAACTGCATTGCACCTGAGGTGGTGCCACTTGGCTCTGGCTGGAGTCACTGTATCTGGAATAGAGCAAGTGACTGGAGCCTGTCACCTTTGCCCAGTGAACTTTTGTTGAACTGAAAAACACTTTTTAGAGCTAGTGAAGGCTTCAGGGAAATGTAGCTTGAGTTGGCTAGCAGGGTCAGTAATGGTCAGGAAATTGGTTAAGATCAAACCTTATCAGATGTCCCCATGGAGTGTCTTTGACAAGGGACAAAAACCCAGATGCTCACAACTCCACTGTGTAGGGTTGGGGGACTGAGTGTCCAGTTTTTTCCTTATTTGCCCCTCTCCCTCATATATCTGAGTAAGAAACTTTCATAAGACTGAAGTAGTGACAAACTGGTACATCCACAAAATAGAATGATACACAGCAATGCAAAGGAATAAACTATTCATATATGAACCATTGATAATGAATTACTGATACGTTGATACACAACAACTTGAATAGACTTCAAGGACATTATTCTGAGTGTGTGTGTGTGGGGGGGGAGCCAGAATTGAAAGGTCACATATTGTATGATTCCTTTTTTTTAAAATCCTTACCCAAGGATATTTTTCTATTTATCTTCAAATAGAGTGGGAGGGAGGGAGGGAGAGGAAAAGAGAAACATCAGGGTGAGAGAGACACATCGATTGGTTGCCTCCCACATGACCCCAACCAGGGCCAGAGACAAACCGCAACTGAGCTATGGGTGTGCCCTTGACCAGAATCAAATCCGCAACACTTTGGTCTGCGGGCAGACGCTCTAACTGCTGAGCCAAACTGGCCAGAGCTGTATGATTCCATTTACATAACATTCTAGAAATGACAAAAGTCTAGAGATGGAGAACAGATGAGTGGTCATCATGGATTAGAGAAAGGGACAGGAGGGTATCCTTACAAAGGGTAAAATAAAAGAGTTCCTTTGTGGTGATAGGAATTTTGTATTTTGAGTGTGATGCTGGTTATAAGAATCTATACACATGAGCTCTGGCCAGTGTGACTCAGTTGGTCAAATATCATCTCATGCACAAAAATGTCACCAATTTGATTCCTGGTCAGGGCACAAGCCCAGGTTTCGGGCTCCATCCCCAGTAGGGGGCATGCAGGAGGCAGCCAATTGATGTTTCTTTCTCACATTGATGTTTCTCTCTGTCTATCTCCCTTCCTCTATCTCTAAAATCAATTTTAAAAAACATTAAAAAAAAAAAAAAAGAATCTATACTAGTGGTTCTCAACCTTCCTAATGCTGCGACCCTTTAATATAATTCCTCATGTTGTGGTGACTCCCAACTGTAAAATTATTATTATTTTTTTATTCTCACCTGAGGACACTTTCCCATATTTTGTTCAGATAGAGTGGGAGGGAGAGAGAGAGAAACATCGACATGAAAGGGACACATTGAGTGGTTGCCACCCACACGACCCAACCAGGGCCGGGGATAAACTGCAACTGAGGTACATGCCCTTAGCGGGAACTGAACCCAGGTCTCTCCGGACCACAGGCCGATGCTCTAACCGCTGAGCCAAACCAGCCAGGGCCATAAAATTATTTTTTGATGCTACCTCATAACTGAAATTTTGCTACTGTTATGTCTTAGGCGACACCTGTGAAAGGGTCGTGCGATCCCAAAGGGGTTGCGACTCACAGGTTGAGAACCACTAATCTATACACATGATGAAGTGTCATTGAATTATACACAAAGATTTTTATAAAAGAGTATATGCAAAACAGGTGAAATCCATGTAAGGTCTGTAGACAGTTAATTGCATTATGCCAAGATCAATTTCCTGGTTTTGGTAGTAGACCACAGTTATGTAAGATGCCACCACTGGGAACAGCTGGGTGATGGGTATGTGGGACCTCCCTGTACTGTTTTTGCAACTTCTTCTGAATCTATAATTAATTCAAAATAAAAAGTTTAATTAAAAGCCCTGGCTGGTCTGGCTCAGTGGTTGGAGCGTTGGCCTGCGGTCCAGAGAGACCCAGGTTCGGTTCCCACTAAGGGTGCGTGCCTCGGTTGGAGTTTGTCCCCGGCCCTAGTTGGGTCGTGAGGGTGGCAACCACTCGATGTGTCCCTTTCACATCAATGTTTCTCTCTCTCTCTCTCTCTCTTCCTCTTTCTCTCCCTTCCATTCTATCTGAACAAAAAAATGGAAAAATGTTCTCGGGTGAGGATAAAAAAAAATGTAATTAAAAAATGTATGTATGTATTAGTTGGTCATCCACTAACTTTCAGGCCATGGTGGAGGCACTGAGCAAAAACAAAACATAAAAATCCCTGATGACAGCTGTGGCCGGTTTGGCTCAGTGGTTAGAGTGTCGGCCTGCGGTCCGGAGAGACCTAGGTTTGGTTCCCGCTAAGGGCATGTACCTCAGTTGCAGTTTGTCCCCGGCCCTGGTTGGTTGGGTGGGTGGCAACCACTCGATGTGTCCCTTTCACGTCGATGTTTCTTTCTCTCTCTCTCTCTCTCTCTCTCCCTCCCACTCTATCTGTACAAAATATCGAAAAATGTCCTCGGGTGAGGATAAAGAAAATAAAAAATAAAAGTTCCTGATGACACTTAACATTCTAGTGAGGAAAAGGAGACAAGAAAAAAACAGCAAAAATAGCATGACAGACACGTGTTAAGGTGACCCCCAACAATTCCCACCCTTGCACAACCCCTACCCCTTGAGTAGAAGTGAGACCTGGAACTTGCTTCTAACCAACAGAATATGGCAAAGGTGATGGGGTGGCACTTCCATGATTAGGTTATACCACATGGCAGAGGTGATGGACTCACTCCTGTGATTACATTCCAATATAAATTGACACCATCTTGCCAGCGCACACAAGGGAGACTCTCCTGGGGCCTTGAAGAAACAAGCAGCTATGACTGCCTTTGGACAGGGCCACATGGAAGGGGACTTGGTGGCTTCTAGAAGATGAGGGCCTCAGTCCTGAAACACGTGAGCTTGGAAGAAAATCCTGAGCTTCAGATGAGACTGAGTCTCAACCAACACCTTCACTGTACCCTGTGAGACCCTGAGCAGAGGACCGGCTAAGCTGTCCCTGACTCTTGACCCACTGAAATCATGATAAAAATATGTATTAATAAGTCACTAAATTTGAAATAATTGATTATACAGCACTAGAAAACTAATACAGCAAGAAATATATAATGTCAGATTGAGATAAATTATGTAAAGAAAAATAACGCCAATAAGGGGATGGGAGTACATGTGTTTGTACATGCACATGTGCTGTTTTATAGAGTGGCCAGGGATGGGCTCCCGGGGCAGAAGTAGTCTTACTCTACCCAACAGCCTAGGGCTGGCATAGTGCAAGGCTCAAGAGCTGACAGGGTAAGTCCACAAGTGAGATTTGTTTTCCAAGATCCCGAGCTCCTTGTGGGTACAGAACCATTTTTGCTTCCTTGTTGCCCCCAAGTATCTACTCCACATGATTAGCATTCAATAATCCCTGGGACTCATCCTCTGTCTCTAACTTTTTTCCTGGTTCCACCCTTCTCATTTCAATTGGACCCTGAGTCACCTTTTCCAGTCGGGTCTCCAGTTCCGACACTTCAGCTTCCACCAGCTCAATAGAGGCCCTGGGAAAGGAGGGATGGCGTCAAGGAAACAGAGCTTGGGTACATCTGGTCTGTCCACCTTGGCAAGGTCAGGTCAGGGGTTGGGGTTAGAGGGTAGAGGGTACAGACCAAAAAAGCTAGTGGGTTAAGAAGGCCCACCCATCAGCCTTCTTTTGTTCACCCACTCCACAGTGTGGGAGCTACTCTAGCCTACGCCAGAGCAGGAAGGGTAGAAAGAGGGTGGATGTGGTGAGGGCAGGAAGTTGCTAACCGCCCAGGGCAGGTGCTGGGGGAGGGGCAGGGGTCCTAATGAGCGGAAGGATGGAATGCCAGCTCTGGGGGTGAGAGACTGGAGGCCCCTCTCTGGGTTTGATAGCAGAGGTACTACTTTGGCCCACAGCTTGATCTTGTCCCTTTGAGACATATCCCCTATTAGGACATCTGGCGTAGGGAAGGTTGTGTGTGTGTGTGTGTGTGTAGAGGGTGTCGGACTACCCCTGCTCTGCCCCCAAGACTTTCCGTACACTTACCGGAAGCGAGGTGAGTCCTTAAGACACTCCTCGAAATCCAGCTTCACTGTCATCTCAGCTTGATCACTTCAGGCCAGTGGGTCCTGGGGCCAGGCGGGTGGGGATGCAGGTGGAGGCACTCCCTGCCCCCGAGGGGCGTTGGTGAGAAAGGAGAAAAGCGTTCTTTCTTGGGTAGAGCCTGGGGAAGGGGGGTAGTCACAGTTCTTTCCCCAAGGGGAAGGGGTGTCCCAGGAGGAGCTCTCACCCTACACTCCAGGCAGCACTGGGAGGGGCAGAGGCGGGGCCTGGGCAGAGGAGAGGGGCCTGAGATCAGAGAAGCCACAGCCCCGCCCTCGCTTTTGGAGACTATCTGCTGTCACCTTCCTATGGCGGCTGAGTCTCTCTCTGCTTCTTTCCCCTTTAGTGGTTGAGTTTTGAGTCTGGCAGATATAGATTCAAATCTAGGCTTGGTCACTTAGAGGCTGCATGACCCTGGGCCAGCCCTCTGATTCCTCAGTTTCCTCATCTGGAAGATGAGGATGACAACCCCCGCTCCAGGGTTGTTGTAAGGATTAAAGATGATACTGGTGAATTTATGGTTGACTGAATCCCATCAATCATTGTCCTCCTGCTGCAGTGTGGCCTTCTCAAACTCTGAAGATCTTCTGGACTCCAGTCCCCCAGACTTCTCTGCTGTGGCTGCTCATAATTTCCTGTGTGTGAACTTCCCTCCCTCCTCTCTCTTCAGTGACTGAGCAGGTCCCACCTGGGCCCCCAATTCACAGGACCCAGACTCTTGCTCTTCTTCTCTTTATTTTCCACCCCTAAGGTGGTGAGGGCAGGGGAAGGTTGGCCCCCTCCCCATCTCCAGCTGGCTACATTTTTCTATTGCGTGGCTTCCTCTTCCTGAGTCCATCAAAGCTGCAGGGTTCATCTGTAGAGAGGAGGGGTTGGATGAGCAGGCATGAGATCTGGTTCATATGACCTCCAGACTCTCTAGAACCTACCCTTAGTTCCTCTCCCTCCCTGGCCAGTGCAGGCAGTCCCTTGCCCCTGCCCAGGCTCATATCTACACTCGTTTTGGTTTGGGAAATTTGGGTTGCTTCTAATTTCCCCCTCTGTGCTTTGGCAATTCAGCCCCTTGGATGCCAGACACTAACACCAGTCAGACACTGCCTGGGACTCACTTTTGGACAGGGCAGTACCAGGAGTGGGGTAGGTGGCAGAGAGAAGTCAAGGAGGAGACTTAGGACCAGCCGATCATGTCAAGTTGGAGGGGGATCCCAACCACTTATGATCCTCCCTGGTTCCTCTCTGTACAGTGTGGGCCTTGCACACTACCTGTTGCTGATCTACTGGCTTGAAGGGAGTGGAGGTAAGGGGGGGTGGGAGCTTTCCAAGAGCCAGGCCCAGTGACACGGTGTCTTAGTGCCCTCACCAGGCTGCAGTGTCATTATCAGGGAGTTCTTGATGGCCTGTGATCCCGATGGGGGCTTTTCGTGTGTTCCAGCAAACGGACCTCAGTTCTTATGGCATTCTCACTCACCCAGTTCAAGCTTGTAGTGCCTGAAAGCATCACAGGATCAGGACTGGGGCACCCATAAGTCCTCCCGCCCCCAGCCTGACCCAGTCTGACTCTTACTGTCCTGCTGCTCATCTTCCACGTCCTCCTCAGGCTCTGGGTGAGGACAGCACCTGAGGTATCTTCCTTTACTATAATACTCATTTCGTTGCAGTTCAACCTCCTTGTCCAACATGATGATGGCTGAAGCTGGGGACTGATTTCTGGAGGTAGAGGAATCTGAGGAGTCACCCAAATTAATCTGAGTCTTAGACCACCTAGGGTGTCCAGGCCCCCCAGGTGTTCACTGTTACTCCACCACCACCACAGGGGGGAAGCTCAAGCCCCAGGTTCTCATCTCACTTCTATTACCTCCTTCCATTTTAGAAAACTGTTAATGACCTCTCCATCCCCCACAGGTCTCTTGGGTTTTCTGTTCCTCCTCATCAGCCAGACTTCCCTGGGGACTATCCTGATGGGGAACTCACCCCAACTGCCCCTCTGTCTTCTCTGGGGTCACCTCCCAGCATTTCCTCCCCCTCAGGTCAGGGCTCTTGGCCAATGATGCCCATGGAGGAAGAAGGCTCTAGACTACAGTTCCCTTGAGTCCCTGGGGTGCCATCATAACTACTAACCCTTGTCGTCTAGGATGTGGTTCCTGGTAACCAGGTCAATTTCATCTTTGACTCCTCTGGCCAGTCCTCCTGCCCAGCCTCTCTCCACAGGTCTGGACCCTGGGCCTGGCATCACACCTCGACAGCCACTGCCCAAACTTTCACTACCCCCATTGCTGTTCTTGTTATTACCCAAGGGCAGGTTTTTCTGAGTCTTGAGGAACTTTCCTTCACTGTAGTGTGCCTTGCGGCGCTTCTCAAAATCACTGGAGTCTGTGGGCCAGTTGAAGAGCTCAGCTTTCCTGCCATGCTCTTGCTGAAGGTTCCGCTCCACCTCCCCTTTCCATTCAATCCCCAACCCTCATCTCACATGTTTTGGAAAAGTTGTCTGAAGACCCTGAGCTTCTGTTATCACCGTGCTGAAGGACTTTGGGGTAGAAATTGTCCATCGTTGCAAACCTGAAGAAGAGGGAGTCTAGTTGGGGACACTGAAGGGAGAAAACAATGGGGGCAGGTGGGAGATGGGGCCAAGCTGGCTGACTCCCCCACCTTAGCCTTGGCCAGATGGGAAATGTAGTACCTCCCATTTGGGGGGTCAAAAAATTGATCCCAGAGTTCAGGAGTAGAGGGAAGAAGATACCCCACGTCCCTACTGATCTCTGACAGAACTCTCACCTCTCTGTTAGTGCCTCAGGGGTCACTGTGTGAGAAGGCCCTGGGAGCAGGTTCTCATCACTGTCCTGCAGCCTGCAGAGGAGAGAGGAAGCAGTGCAGGGAGGGGGGCATTAGGCAGTAGAGTTCCTGAGTCTTCTCTGCCTCTTCACCATTGTCCCCTCCTTTTTCTTTAAAAAAAAAAAAAAAAGTTTTTATTGATTTTTTAGAAAGAAAAATCACACACCCCCCCCACCACCACCACCAGCTGGGGATGGAGCCACAAGCTCCGTAATATGTCCTGACCAGAAATTCAGCCTGGACCTCTCAGTCCATGGAACGAAGCTCAATCCACTGAGCCACCCTGGCCACACCCCTTCTTTGAATAGGGAAGAGACTCTGGGTTGAAGGGCTAGGGATGAAGGCTCAGCACCTGTGGTAGGGAGTGCTAGGTTCATCCACCTTCATAAATCCATAGTCCTTGTCAGCAGGGTGGTAAGTGGCCAAGATATTCATTTCATCCCAGTGTTGAGACTTTTTCCTGCAGTCGGGAAAGGACACAAAAAAGGGGGAGGAAACCTTCCAGTGACCTCCTCCCTAATTCTTTCAGTCATTCAAAATGTTTTATTCTACCCCTTTGCCCTTCCAGAGGTGTAGGGGGTTAGGGGTTGGGGTTGGGGGTCACACCTAATGATAATCACGTACTATATAGCCAGAGTTTATCTGGTACCTGTTGCTCTCCTCAAAACTTGGAACCTCACATTTTCCATTCAATTGCCCTCACCTACTCTCACTTCTAGTTCTCAGGACTCTGTCTCTTCCCTCCTGGCTCCGCCCCCTCCTGTGTTCGGAACCCCTCCCTCCTGGCTCCATGCTGCCTGTGAACTGAGCTGGGATCCTTACCTTTCCGCACTGGAGGATTTATGCACCGAGGTGGAGCTACTGTTTTTTAGGATGCTACGGGGCCGATCTTCATAGGGTTTGTGGGGGTGCAAGCAAGTTGACCCGGAGCGTGGACTGCATCCTGAGTTGTGCACTCCAGGCCCCTTGGACCCAAAGCCTGACGTCCCGGATACATAGGTTCCAGGAAAGGGGGGATTAAATCCTCCAGGGAATGTGCTGGCTGCAAGGCTGTGGCCCACAACCTCCCCAGGATGCTGGCTGGGGCTGGAACCGTGAACCGCTACCAGCCCAGAGGGCGAACTATAACTAGTAGGGCTTCTGATTACTATTCCTGCGGAGTGTAGGGAGAGCCCAGAGTCAGGAGACAAGACTGCTCCGGAGGGCAGCCCCGAGCCTGCCTCGATTCCTCTGCTGCCTCGTGGCACTCCGCTGGTTGCCCCTCCAGGAGATTCCCGGTTGAGGCCGCCAGCAGCACCCAAAAATTCCTGCTTCTGCATTGCCCCACCAGGAGGCCATTCAGAGAACCCGTCCCTCAGGCCCCGCCCCCACCGCGGCAGGGGGGAACGCCTAGGCCATCAGGGTCCTCCCCCTATGCTCTTTGGAGTCGCAGTGGGCTGAATCAAGACTATATAGGGACCTGGGGCTGAGAGCCCCGCCCCCGGTTGCCCCTCCCATTTTGTCCCTCCCTCCCAAATCTTTGTCTCTTGGATTTGTTCCTGTCCTCCCAGGGGCCTTGTGACGTCACAGTCATCCAACAGTAGCGTGAGCGTCGGAGTCGGGTTGGCGACTTGTTAATAGCTGTGGGAATCTTTTGGGACTGTCAGCACTGTTGCTTGAAACTCTGCCGGGATTTCTTTGGGATTTTTATTCGTGGCTTTAAAATCTAAAGTTGATTGGATTAGAGTTCAAAGGGGGCTTGACTGGAAACATCCGTGAGCCCTTTTTTCCCCAAAAGTCGGTCCGCTTTGCCTCTCACGAGAGGTGTGATACAAAGTTGGAGGGTTTGAGACACTGTCGCAAGACATATCCGGTCTCAGCGGTGTGGAGGGCGGAGGTTTCCATATATAAAGCTGCCGGTTTCCATTTACAGTTTTGAAGCTTGTAGCATGAAGAGAAGACACTTCCTCCTCTTGCCATAAAGCTAATACTTCAAGTTGTCGCCAGCCTCGACGAGGGCGGGGTTGTCGGTGCCGCTGTCGCAAAGCTGAAAGTGTTAGGCGCCCGCACCCCCCCCGTCGTAAAGATGGCTGCGGTAGTCGTTTCTTTCACTGTCGCAAAAACTCCCTGCCTAAGTCTTCCTCGCTTTTGGAGCCACTCCTTCACCTCGTCGTGCCGTAAAGCAAACCTCCGACCCCGTCGTCCTTCTGTTCCCATCGTGGTAGCCGTTAATTCCTTAGCCCGGGATGTTTTAGTGCCCGGCAGTGCCGTAAAGCATATCTGGCCCGAGCCCGGGTCCTATTCCTTCAGGGTGTTTGTGCACCGTGGTTGCTACGGTGCCGCCAAACGCGGCTGTCGTGCGGCCCCGGCGTCAGCGGCGATGGCGGCGGGGTCGGGTGGGAGTGGGGGGTCCGGGGGAGGCCCCGGGCCGGGGCCTGGTGGGGGTGGAGGCCCCGGCGGGAGCGGCCCAGGACCAGGGTCTGGCGCGGGTTTGGGCAGCGGCGGGGAGCTGCACCCGCGCACTGGGCGCTTGGTGAGCCTGTCGGCCTGTGGGCGTACAGCGCGGCGGCAGCAGCCGGGCCAGGAGTTTAACCACGGGCTGGTGTTGAGCCGGGAACCCTTGCGCGATGGACGCGTCTTCACCGTCCGCATCGACCGCAAGGTGCGGAGCTGGGGCTGCAGAACCAAGATGTGGCGGATGGTGGGAGGGGACCAGAGGGAGACCGGGTAGGACTGTCAGTGTAACCCACATCATCGGGTACCGAGGGGACACCAGGTGACGAGCAGGAAGGGAGCATGAAACAGAGACATTCAGCCTGAAGGAGGAGAGGAGAGCTTGAATTTCCTCAAGACCCAGGAGCAGGGAAGGGACACGGGGTCTCGCCCACTAGAACGACTAAGGAGCAGACCTGGAACAGTTTCTGGATAGAGAGATGTCAAAGGTGTGATGAGCAGAGAAGAGAGAGAATCTAGGGAAGAACAAACCACTGAAAGACAAACTTAGGATTGGGTGGGTGAGATAGGTAAGGAGAGCTATTCAGGGAGAGGGAAGTCTGTGTGCTTAGTGAAGAAACCCAGGGCACAAAGATTGAATTTGGGAAGAGAGTGAATCTGAGTGGAGCCAGAGCTTAGGAGAGAATTAGGCCAAGGGGAAAAGAGAGATAGAAGAGCTAGGAATATGAGCATGGAGAGCTGTGAATGTGGGTGGTTGAGGAGCCACAGAGACCAGCGAAGTTAGAGGAGGCAGGGAGCTGGAGCCAGGGAATTCAGCCAGCAGAATGGGGAAAGGACTGATGTAGACACAGCACCCAGAGTACAGGGCAGAGTTGCTAGGGAAAGTAGACCAAACTATTAAGAGTGCAGAAAATAACTTGTGGGACTGCATCTCGATTAGCCTCTTATATCTCAAGAGAGAAGTCAGTTAAGCTGAGAGGTGGGGAGAAGAGGATGCAGTGGCCTGTGAATTGTAGTTTCCTAGTGGTGGGAGACCCATTGGTGGCCCATCCTGAGCCTCTGTCCACCACCCCTATCACAGGTCAACTCCTGGAGTGGCTCCATTGAGATTGGGGTGACGGCACTGGACCCCAGTGTGCTGGATTTTCCAAGCAGCGCCACAGGGCTGAAGGGGGGTTCGTGGGTAGTGTCGGGCTGCTCGGTGCTGAGGGATGGACGTTCTGTGCTGGAGGAGTATGGTCAGGACCTGGACCAGCTTGGCGAAGGGGACCGTGTGGGCGTGGAGCGCACAGTTGCTGGGGAGCTGCGGCTCTGGGTGAATGGGCGGGATTGTGGTGTGGCTGCCACAGGCCTGCCTACTCGTGTCTGGGCAGTTGTGGACCTTTATGGCAAGTGCACCCAAATCACTGTGCTACCCCATGAGCCAGGCTTCAGCCCCTCTACTCCTATCCCCACACCTCCCCTCGAGCCCTCCGCTCCCCTTGAAGATTCTGCCTTGGCTGAACAGGGGACCTCTAGGGATGAAGGTGAGAACACAGCTAGGGCAGTGGTGGAGGGGTGGGGCACAGGGGATGGCTGAAGGGAAATGTAGTAACAAGTGAGGCTGGGTGTGGGCAGGGCCACTCAGACCCCTGAGAGCAGGGGTTAGAGGAGGGGGTCTCCTGGCTGTGGGTTCTGCAGCAGGGGCTGAACCCTTATTCCCCTCCCATCCTGCCTGGTCCCCAGCCTTCATGGTGTCCCCAGCGCAGGCCCGGCCAAAGACGTTTCCTAACAGCCTTGAGTCACATAATGGTGAGGGCTTCTGGGAGGCCCTGGGAAGGGGAGTGGGAAGTGAGGTGGACAAGGGAGGGACCTCAGGAGAGGGGTAGGGAAAGAACTGCAAACCTGAGGGTGTAGAGCCTCATTTCAGCTTCCTTCTTTCATACTGCTGCTGCAGACTTTGCCAGCATGGAGCTCTCCGAGGTGGTGAGCAATGCCATCCTGTCTGCCTACAATGGGGGGCTCCTAAATGTGAACCTGAGCTCCCCACCAGCAGGGGAAGGACTAGGGTCTAGCTGTGCTGCCACTTCACCCATCCTCACTTCCAACGACGCTCTGCTCTTTCACGAGAAGTGTGGAACTCTCATCAAACTCAGCAACAATAATAAGACGGCTGAGCGTCGCCGGCCCCTGGATGAATTCAACAATGGGGTTGTCATGACCAATCGCCCGCTCCGTGACAATGAGATGTTTGAGGTGTGCATGATCCTGGGGTCTGGCTGGCACCTCACCCCCTGGGAGCTAAAGATGGGGCTTGATCCCTCCTGCTGGAAGGGTGAGGCTTGGGGAAGGGCCAAGGGCTGAGGGTCCTTTCTCTGCATTTATATGCATGCCTCTTCTAATATTCCACCCAAGATCCGCATCGACAAGCTCGTAGATAAGTGGTCAGGCTCCATTGAGATCGGTGTCACTACCCACAATCCCAACAATTTGGAATATCCAGCTACCATGACCAATCTGCAGTCAGGTACCAGCCATGGACAGGGTGGGGTCACAGGCCTGGGATTGTTGAGGTGAAGGAAGCTCATACCCTAACCAGGGTGTGTGCTTTCCCCTAGGTACCATCATGATGAGCGGCTGCGGGATTCTGACCAATGGCAAAGGCACCCGCCGGGAGTACTGTGAATTCAGTCTTGATGAGCTTCAGGTGAGGGTGGAACACAACCTGGGCCACACTTCAAGGGAGTCCCAGTATGCTTCATCCCTGCCTGGGCACTGCAGTCTGGAGCAAGGCCCTTTATCTTTTGTTTGAAGATTCCTTCTAAGAAGTCAGGATTGCCCCAATAGTTAGGTACTCAGATTTTGGAGTCAGATAGGTTTAATTCCTCTTAATGGTTGGCCATTTGTGGTAGTGATCTGAGGCTAGAAGCTAACCCTCTTTGGTAGTTTCTTTTCTGCACATGTCTTAAAATGAGCCCTGTTAGGCCCTGGCCAGTTTGGCTCAGTGGTTAGAGTGTTGGCCTGTGGACCAAAGGGTCGTGGGTTCAATTCCTGGTCAAGGGCATGTACCTGGGTTGCAGATTTGATCCCTGGCCCCGGATGGTGTCATGCGAGAAGCAACCAATCAATGTATCTCTCTCACATCGATGTTTCTCTCTCCCCTCCTCTCACTCTACCTATAAATCAATGGGAAAATATCCTCAGGTAAGGATTACCTCTTAGTAGTGTTTTATAGGTTGTTGTGAGGGTTAAACAAGTTGATGGTTATAAGGTGACAATACAGTGCCTGACTTGCATTAAGCATTCAGGTGGTCTGAGACTCACGAAAACTTTTTGGAGCTGTTCTCTTGTGATGTGCATTGGTGGGAAGGCTCTACTCTCACGGTTCCCAGAACTGTCTAGAGCCTGATTGTGGGTGAATTCTAGACTATTATTATTATTATTATTTTTTTTAATAGGAGGGTGACCACATCGGTCTCACAAGGAAGTCCAATGCTGCCCTCCATTTCTTCATTAATGGCATTGATCAGGGTAAGGAGAAGCTCAGAGAGGGCTGGTGCGCCTCCATGGGGTGGTCTATACCTCATCCTCCTGCCTCTTTGATACTTAGTCTCCCTCTATTTGACTCTTCCCCTCACCCCCCCATTTCTGTACCTTCCACTCCTATAGGCGTGGCTACGCCACTGACACCCCCAGTGGTGTATGGAGTGGTGGACTTGTATGGGATGGCAGTGAAGGTGACCATCGTCCACAATAACAACCACAGTGACCGTCTGCGCCGGAACAATGCCATCCTGCGGGCGCTGTCCCCTGAGGGTGCTCTCCGCCGTGCTGCTCCTGCTGCCCAAGCAGAACCTGAACGCCTACTCTTCCACCCCAACTGTGGGCAGAAGGCAGCCATCACCCA